TATCCTTGTTTATGCAGTGCCTTGTGGAAAGAGATACAGGAAAACTCAGCTGAAGCTTTCAACCATGAAATGCAGTCCATATTTATTTATGTACTTGTTGTAAGAACTGTTACTAGCTCTTCTCAAGTAGATATAGCAAGATTTTCAAGGCTTATAATTTGTTTTTTGTTGGGTCCTTTTTTAAGAGATTAGGTATGATGTGTAGTCTTCCCTCTACCACCCTTTTGCCCTTCCCTTCCCACCTCCCCCAATTACCTAACTAGCTGAAGTTGCTTCTTTTATGACGTTAAAAAAAAAAAAAAAAAATTAGCTTCCACAGCTAGGAAAAGAACTGGGAATAGATAGGGCTGAGTGTATGGTGCTTACTGCTGGTTGCCCTCCCAGCAAATCACAACTTGCAGTCTGGTTTGTGTCCCCTTCCAAAGGTGGCCTGAGCTCATACCAGCTTTGGGGGTGGTAATCTCGAAGGCATTTTTCCCATATGACAAAACAGATTTTGTTGCCCTCCATCTGGCAGGTTTGATTTTAAGGTTCAAATTACGTTGGTCAGGATTGCCAGGACTTCTGGCTGCTCTAGTGGGGCCTGCGTCCTCTTCATGGACCTCTTGGACCCGGCCATAAGTCTTGTCTGTGCGAGGTGGCCTCTGTGGAGCAGCGCAGGGCCCTGTAGCTCCCATCCTCACGCAGAGGAGAGGCCGCGGCCCTGCCTTCCAGCGGGCCCTTTGGAAGGCCTCTGCTTGCTCACCCTGTACGGCCGCCCATCTGCAGACCCTCGCTGCGCGGGCTGGGCATGTGAGACGGCCGTCTCCTCTTCGTTAATTTAATAAATTCTTAAGGGCTTCCAAGGTGCAGTGGTGCCATCGCTGCCAGGCCTGTGTCGGTGGAGCCCATGGGATCCCTCTGCATTCAGCTCCTTGGAGCGGACCGCAGCCCTTGGTGCCTATCCAGGTTCTGCTGGAGGGGCGACCATGGAGCTCCCGAGCGGCAGCTGTCACCAGAGCCCCTCGCTACGTAACCCAGCCCCACAGCTGCCAGAGGGAAGGAATTTGGAGGCAAAGCCAACTCTGTCGCATTTCCATATGCAAGAGCATTGCCTTGGGTTTCTCCGCTGGCAGAGAGCACAACCCTTTTGCTAGGAAGCAAGTTATTCGGATCATCGTGACTCCAATATGAGACAGAATTCAAATATTGGATTTTTGCCTACTTGAGGGTTAGGGGGGGAAAAAAAAAATTATCCGCCTGGGAAGTTTGCTTATCTGACCAAGATGCACGAATATTGATTTTTATTACCTTGGTGATTCCCTGCAGTTGTGCATGATGTCATTACAAACAGAAGGATTGATTTTTCTGGTTAGGTGGTTAAGTCTGAGTGTTGTAATTGTTGCAATAAATTATACTGACTAGATAAAAATCTTCCTGGCAGTGTTCCTTGTGTTCTGGTGTCTTGCAGCTGCTAAAAATTTGAAAAAATTAGCTTCCTATATGGTCAGTTTCCTGACTCTATATTGCTAGATTCAAAATTTAAGGCAGCTTTTCTTTTTTTTTGTAAATTCAGCTTAAAACAAATCAAGCTACTCTTTGACCCTTTTGTTCTTGCATAAAATCTCTTCTTCATCTAGTCCTGCTATTCATTTGTGTAGTTGTTAGTCGATTGCCCAGCATAGGGGGAAAGAGGCAATCAGCTGTTGGAGTTGTGATTAAAGTCAGAAGTTTTCTTTCGCAGTCTTGTAATTTCAAATGTGGTTCCTTTATTATGTCCAGATGGAAATAAAATAAATTATATATTACATTTTTTCCTACTAGCTGAAATATGTAATTATATTTAATAATGCAAAGTGCTTTGTTTAAAATAAATAAATAAATAAAGCCTATAAACAGGAACCAGATGTTAGACTTATAATGTGAAGACACCGTAAAGTACAATTATATGTTTAGCCCTTGATGCCCTTCAAGTCCTCTCTGGGATATTAAGTAATAGCTTTATTAAGTGATGAAATCTAGTATTCTTTATGCAATCTGTCAGAATGAGGTAAGTACGACGGTTCAGTGCATAGCTGTACTTCAGTTAAACCTATGTGGTCTGGTACTTCCGTGGAGTTCTAGGTATAGTCTGGATAAGACTGGCAACATCTTACCTTAAAAGTTTGGGATAGAATGCTCTATTTCCATCTGAACATTTAAAAAGAATGGATTGTTTTCTTCTTATTTCTTCAGTAATGAAGCAAAACATTCATTTAGTTCGTTATTTTGTTTCCTTGTTAATTCAAAGAAAGCCAGAAACTTGTCATTCACTTCTAAGCAACAAAAGAGACGGTGGCTCATCAAGTATTTCTTTCTCATATTTGTTTCATTTATGTTTTGTTGATAATTTGTGTTCTGTCACCAAGTCCAAAGTGATTGGTGGGAAGTCACCTCAACAGTGGGACCTTAGGTACCGGTCTATACCTGAAAATACATAAATGTGCTCAACAGAACAAACTGCTTTCTACTGCAGAGTGGTGTCATGGAGGGAAATGGAGGGAAATAACTTTAAAGGAAATGTTAGTTATTTATGTTCCTATATTTATTTTCTTCTGACATGCAATGCATAGCTAATTTTGTCTGAAATTTAAAAGCAGCTCTTCTTATAAGAAGGAATTAAACCCTATTTTAAGGTTAAAAAAAATAGTTCTTTGTGTGTATGCAAAGTGGAAAGGACAAAATCTTCTTAGATTTTTAAAAATAGTATTCTCTAATTTTGTAGCAAGCTATTGCTTTCATATGAGATGGTGTTCAGCCATATAAAAGTCTGGCTAAGATAACACTTATATTTGAAAGTGAGAGCATCTAAAAATAGCTTATGACCTTAAAAAAGAATTTACAAAGTGATCACATACAGAACAGACTGTTACTCAAAGGATGCTAAATTTGAGAAGAGTGATAAAGAACCAATTCTCTTCTGTTTTGTAGTGTGAGTTCTTTTTAAGAACTTGGCAGAAACATTTTGTGGAACTTGACTTTCATTGATTTCTTATACCATAAATCTGTTCTTGCGTGAAGTAATAGAGTTGTGGTGCATGGCTCAGGTTCCAGCACTTCTGCCATTTCTGAGATTTTAGAAGCAAGAACATGCTGTGTTACTGATAAGCAAGAAATCATAGGTAACTGCTCGAAAGCTTCATGTAAGCTGCCTTTACACTATTTTCTAAAGACTGAGAGAGAAAGGCTTTGTCATTTGCTTCATTTTACAGAGCTTGTTTAATAGAGTTTTCATGTGAAAACATATTTTCTAGTCGAACATCTAAAATCAGTATGAACATCTGCAGATGGCTCTGTTGAAAATGGAAACCTTTGAGTAGATCAGGTTTGTAGGAGGCGTCTTGGCATTTTCTTCCGTCCTCCAGGAGCAGAGTCGACCTTCCTCTGGCTTGCATCACGAACCAGAGCCAGCTCCACACCCCTCGCCGTGCATCAAACTGAGCTCCTGCCATTAGCAGTATAGTCATTACTGGTGTATCAGTTCACCTAACTGTTACTGCTGGTGTGTTAGTTCACATATCATTTGCTACTGGTGTATTTAGTTAACGCATCTGAGACAGAGGAGGTGTTCCAGTGAATAACATAGCGGCTTCTCTCTCGCCCTGAGGTAACAGGATTCTGGGCAGAGATTCTCAGAACTGCTTTCAGAAGTGATTGGAGAATGTCAAGGGTTCATATGGACCTCGAGAGAGATGAAAAGCATCTGCCAAGGGAGTTGTTCTAAAAATCAGCCCCTTTGAAAGGCAGGTGCCTGAAAGGGATGGAAATTCTTACCCTTTCTTGGACCAGTCCAGGCCAACGTCCTGTAAATACTGAGAGAAGATACTGGATGTGTGACTAATATATTGCCAATTAATGATCAGGAGGGAATTTGTGAATAATTGCAGCTTAACGAGCAGAGCTGGCAGCAGCAGCGAGCGCTGTTATCTGTGCTGGCAATGAGGAGGGGAGCTCTGGGCTGGGAGAGCCTGGCTGGAGCGTGTGGAGCTGCAGCAGCAGCAGCAGCAGCAGCAGCAGCCTTTGCTCCTGTGCCCGGGAAGAAAGGGAACATCTTCAGTGAAAGAAAAAAATCTTTAGGGAAATTGCAAATCTGGTGGCATGTGCCATACGGTTCTTTTGCCAAATTTGCTTATTTTTTGCTGGGTGAAATTTAACAGACCATATTGCACCACTTTACCCATGATCCAGATGTTATCCTGTCTCAATTTTTAAAGCGTCTTTTAAACTTTCTTGCCAGACTACGTGTCCTCAGTTTTGTAAATAATCAAAATGCAAGAAACCTGACCACCTTATTCTGTTCCCCATCCTGCTATATTCCATCACCCTGCTAAGTGTCACTCTGGGGATTGATTTTTATTTTGTTTTGCTTTGTTTGTGTTTATGCATTCTTCCCATCTTTTTTATTTGTACATAATGCATAATGCCCTCTGTCTCTTTTCAAGCCAACACAATGCTCTTAACCACTCAGTAATTAGTCTTATCTATTATATCACACAGAAACCACTTCTAATTTCTCAGTAATTTCTGGAATATCAAAGGTAACATTTCAGACAGGGTTGCAAATGATCAGGGTTGCAAATGCAAATGATTAGATCTACCTTATTTAGCAATGGCCCATTTTAAGGACACTCAGATCAGAGGCCCTTATGTATTGGTAGCAGAGGATGACTCTGACAGGAAAGCAGCTAATTCTTGCCATCTCCTGGCATTTAAATTGACCGCTTTCTGAAAGCGCTGGTCAAGGCTTTAATGACATGGGATTGAGTTTCAAATACTTCTGAAGTTCTCCCTTAAATCAATACGTAATACTATTTAGTAGATACTCTTTAGTTTGTTTTTATCTTAAAACAGTATATAATCCCATAGCTGTGTCTTTATTTTTTTTCTTAAGAAAATCCCATGCAAGTATTTTCACCTGCTTGTGCCCTTTCAAGAGTGAGATGTTGAAAATCAGTATCTTTTTTCTTTTGGAAAACTCATAGGAAATGGCAAAGATTCTCAATCATCCCAGAGTGTATGCTTTTCTGCACATACCAGTCCAGTCTGCGTCTGACAGCGTACTCATGGACATGAAAAGAGAATACTGCGTGGCAGACTTCAAACAAGTAGTGGATTTCCTTAAAGAAAAGTAAGTCTATTAATATTCAAGAAAATAGCTTTTTTTTTCTCTATGTTAAGAACATGTGGCTGCAAACAATTACTGCAGTTTTATAATTAAGGTATGAAACAAAGAAAGAGCTTCTTTAGCTTTCAAAGACTGAGTTTTCTCTAAACCCCTTGATGTGGTTTACCCCTTTGCTTGAGCTTTTATAAGTATCTTAAATCTCTGCATGACATGCTTTTCATTTGTCAATATATTCCTAATCTTTTTCAAATAATATGTTCGTAGATTATTTTTATGTTTAAACTACTATATATAGACTGCTTGAAGTTCACATTATTACACTCTTCTTTAATGTGGCTTTTCAGCATTGTATACTTTGTGTACTGGAGATGATCCAGCTCCAGCTAACATAAATGGGTATTTTTTTAAGTAAATATTCTATGTCCTATAGCTGATGTACATTCAAGTCATTATAGTAATACTCTAAACTTGCTTATGGGATTGATGATTTATGGGATAATTTCCAAATTATTTTCCTTAAGAAGGGAATTAATTTTGATAAGTAGTGTGTATCATGTAATGTTGCATTTATGCAAATCTGAAGACAAAAGTTAAATTCACTTGAAAATCTCTTGTAACAACTGCCTGGAAATTGTGATGTGCAAAAAAAAAGAAAAGCAAGTTGCAGAACTACAGAATCTTTTTCTGTAGACATTATGTTTAGTTGCCAGGATATTCTGATATATTTAGAACTGACTGAAATGGAGCTCCTTGAGAAAATACAAGTTCACTATGCATCATCTTTATCATCATTACATGTAGAGTGGGTATTAATTTTTCGTCCTAAACAGTACACATATTTCTTGGCATATTTTCATGTGGCTATGAGTTTGGATTTTTTTTTCAGTTAAGTGAAACATTGACACAAGTTTTAAATAGGAACTATGTCAGTGTATATCCTCGTTGCCTTGAAGCTGATTCATTATCCTCTTCAGTAGTTTTAACATTGGCAGCTATTATCATAACAGCAGCTGGATTTCAGATAGCCTAGTATAGCTGGCACATGTTAGGGCATATGGGGATTTATTAAATCATTCAGCTCTTGCACACAGAAAAGCATGAATTACTTAATATCCAAATTTAAAACAGCTGGTCATTTCTGTACAGTAATCTATGACATACGTCATTTTCCACAGACTTTTTAGTAGTTAAGGACGAGAAAAATGAAGGTTTAGCTCCCTTGTTTGCTTAAGTAATAATAAACATCCTATTTTATTAAGAAAAACTACCAAATTGTCTAGTAGTTCCGATTAGAAAATAATCTTCAAATGGAAAATTCTTTTTAATATGTGGCAACAAGTAAGGGAAGCTATGCAAAGAGAGGGAAAATGTTTTGAATATTTGAACATGTGCACATATGTAAAACTCTTTTTTTGTTATTTTTGCCTTTGCACTCGAGAGCCCAGTGTCTTCATTTGTAGCCTCTGCTCTTATGGCAGCAGCCAGCTATTGCATTCCCATATAGATATTCCCATAAAGATCTCTCAGCACCAAGTTTGCCAGGACTAAGCATTGCTGCAGACAGCTCCAGAGCTCAGAGCCAGAACAGCTAAAATAAGTATGTTTGAACTTCTTCAATAGCCAAAAGGGATTATTTCCATCTTCCATTTAACAAAAAGGAAAAAATAAGCAGAAGTAGCACCTCCTATATCTTCTTTCTCTATTCCTGGGTTTGTGAAGTCATGTAGAAACTTCCTATACATCACATGTAGTATCTTGTCAGTAGATTCCAAAGGGAATCCACCTTCATCTCTAAAAGGTGACCACGGCCACTTGAAACCCCACTACACCAAAAATTCTATAGGCTAATGTACTGAAGAATAAAGCCACTTATACAGGAGTTGCATGGTTATCAGCTAAATGCCAGAAACAGAAATATATCAGTCTGAAAGACTATATTAAAGGAGCTTTATTTTATAGTTTTTTTCAGAAATGTTTTCCTTGATGCTTCACACTCCTTTTTTTTACACTTAAATTTCAGCGAATTGTAATATTCAGAAAGAGGCTGTTGTGTAGTTCATATATGTCAGTGGGTGATCTACAGTGGGTGATCTTTTTCATTTCCTGAAGATTTCTCTGTAAGCTGCTCTGGAGAGCACCAGCATAAAGGAAATGAGGATGCATTGACCTAACCTAGACGGTGGCCCTGCACAGTGTAGCCCTTGATGAGGGTTTTTGCAGGAGCACCATGTATATTCTGGCTGATACCTGTGTGCCTGGTGAGAGTGTTCTCAAGAATGATCCACAGATGAGATATTAATTTCAAAGTATTTGCAAGAACATACAGGATTATTCATATTAATGAATATTGTATTAGCATTCAAACAATAATATATTGACTTTCACACTGCTGGTTCATTAATTTAATCCAGGGCCACATTTAATTTTGTATCAGAAATTCTATTAATTGGGGTTTCGTTGTATCAAAATGTGCCTTTTTTATTTTCCTTGAGTAATCTGACTTTCTAGATTCAGGATAAGCTGTGTTTCTGAAGGGTGTTGCTGGTAGTTACAAGCAAAGACTGCTTTAATTATCTCAAGTCTTGCCACTTAATCCCCTGAAATTTACTTTTGCTGCTACAAGCAAACAGTCGGGATGCGTTTTAGTTCGGGAATTCTGTGGGAGCGGGGGCCACGTCCTGTAACTCGTGAGCAGCGCGCAGCGCTGTGAAGGGGCCCGGGGGCTGCTGTGTCCTGCCTGCCGCTCTTGGCCCTGCGCTGCTCCCGGTGCCGCAGGACATGGGAGGGCTCCTCAGGGGGGAATGTTAACCTCTCCTGTTACCACCCCTTCGTAAAGGAGGAGAAGAAAGAAATAAAAGACTGAAAATAAAGTGGGTAAACGCAGAGCAAAGATGGAAGGCTCTATGCCCGCGTTTCAGGAAATAGCGAAACATGGCGGAAAATCTTCCCTCCCGGTGTGTTTGTTGTTGTGTTCTCCATGTCCTGGCGTGACAGTAACGTGTGTGGCTGCTGCCGTTCGCTCAGAACTGCCTCGTGGCTCATGGTGGATCGATCAAAGCCCTGCAGCCTCGAGTGCAAGCTGGCAAACGCGGGCCGCTGCCCAGGCCCCGTCACACACAGGCCCGGCCTCTCCTGCCCCCTTCCCGTGTCCGCCGTGGGAATCACAGAGCTGCTAGGAAGTCTGTCCTCACCTCCCTTGCTTTCTGTAGAAATCCAAATGTGGTTTTTCAGCATAGGTAGACATAGGTTTATATGCAGCTGGAAAAAAAAAAAAGGGAATGGAGGGAGGTAATGGCTTAGGAGGAGGTTAATCACTTAGGTGTAAACTGGAATCCGCCAGTCTGGTAGAGACAGTTGCTCTGGGTCTGAAGAAACTGATAATGCTGCCCACTGTTGAGATACTATATATTTTATATAATATCCCAAGATATAATATAGTTCTCTGGGATCACTGTCTTCCGGCAGGCTCCTTCTTGCCAGCAGGTCTGCCAAATAGCAGCAACTTCAGCAATTTTTTGGCCATCTCTTTCTGTTATCATTTACATTGATAGGAGTTTTTCCGGCAATATCCGTTTATCCATCTGAACATACCTTTTGGCAGCCTCCTTTCTCCATGGGCTTCCTTGCGGTGTGTTGTAGTAGGGCCGCTCTTCCCCTGCAGTTTTGCAAGCAGCAGTTTGTTGCCCAGGTTCTGGGCACGGTAACACGTGTTATAAAACCTTCCATGGGCAGTCAGCCCTTCGATCACACAGTCTCCCTCGCTGTGTTTCTGGTGCGTGCATGGATTTATTTTGTTGCTTAGAAGTCTTTTTTTTTTGGTGCTTTTTTTGTAGTTAATTTTAGACTACTGTAGCTGAAATGAGGGAGAAAATCTTCCCTGAAGCTTATTTTGAAGGACTGTCGCTAGGACTGTTGCTATTACTTGGATGATTAAGTAAATCCTGAAAACTATAAATAACTATGTGAATAGTTTTCTTCTGAAAGAAGATCACACAGTAACCTCCTACATATTGTTAAATCTTCATTGAAAAGATAGAGTGGCCAACTCAGTCCTCATCAAACTTGAAGTTGTTCCAGACACGCTGCTATTTTGAAAATATCTTAGTGCTTGTGATAGGAATAGCAGTAGTATTGATTTTATCTTCTTATCCTGCTGAAACTGAAGAAGACAAGCACTGAAGACACTTAAAGACATAAATATCCAGTTAACTTTTTTATATAAATGTTTGTGGGGTGTTCATTTACTTTCTAAATGCAGTTAATTAGACAGTGGACTGTAACAACTCCCTGACTTTTTGCAGTTTCTGTAAAGGCTTTTGATTCTCTGAGGAAGATGCTGGAGAGGTTGGCAGATTTGTGGATTGTGAAGCCAACAAACCATGACAAGGCTTTTAGTCCTGGGCTTTTTTCATGCGTTTGAGTACATCTGTCATTCTAACTGCTGCGAATGCAAGTGTACCTGTGTGAAAATCCTTATGACGTTTTCAGTTAAGAAATTGCTGAGTGCATTTGTTACTTATCCGTAATTTTATATTTCAGACTCTTCTCTTTAGTCTGCCTTTGGTGTACGGTTCTGAGTTTGAACTACTCACTTTACCAAATGTCTCTCTTTTTATTGCTTTAAATTAACTTAGTGTTTGTAAAAAGTATTGAATTAGCACTGAAAACTCTTGTTGCTGTTGGTTTTTTTTCACTGAATAGCATAGAAATATCCGTATCATATCCAGACTTGATCCTACAAGCTGCTCTTACCACAGGATTTAGATCTTTAGGTCCCTTGAGACTTAATTTTGGACTTATAAAAAGCCCAATTAAAAGCTAAATTTGTAAATCTTCCTGTCTTAAATTTTATTCATAAAGTCTTACAAAAGGTTTTAAGTAGGTAGCAATTCAAAAGTGCTGAGCGTTTGCAGATCCATGTATCTCATGAAGATATTTTAAATATGTAGTGTTCAGCAATCAGAATTTATGTTTTTCATTGGCACTAATTTGGGCTAGAGACG